AAGCGTTGGCTGCTCCTCCTGCCCGGCGGAAGATCTCCCTGTTCCTTCCACGGCCAAACATATAAGTGCTGAGTTACGTGCTCGGCGCTGAAGGAAAACATCGTGAGGAAACTTGCATGTCTGAGAAATAAGAAAAAACATATTTCGAAGACATGTTAAATTCGCCAACACACATTAGGGCAGCACGGCAGCTCTCAGAAATGAGAAAAGGCCTGTGCCCAGCAGTGGGACGTATATATAATGAAACTTTATCTAGTCATTAAAAACATTTATACCCGAAATTCAAGCAATTCTGTTACTATTTACGATAATGACTGAGAAGCGTCTGATAATGAGATAAACACTTATCAAGCATCTCGATAATTAATAAGACTATCTACGAGTTCTGCAGTGAGAGAAACAGCGTTGAAATAAATATCGATTCCAATCATCCAAGTTATTTTTAAGTATAATCGATAAGACTATAGTAGTTTATCGTCGAATGGAAATTTTACGACGTGTTAGAAGTCAACCTAATCATTTGTAAGTATTCGATTACATCGTTTATCTATTAGGGAATCAGTCTTTGAATGAAAAATATATATAACTGTAGGAGGTAAAAATAAATCATAAAAAAGCCGAATTCCTATTGTATTGTGATATCCCCCTCTCCCATTAAAGCATGGGTCTTCAAAGACGTGGCATAGTTGCCCACAAGGAACGAAAAAGAAAATTTTTTTTTATAGAGGGAGTTGTTGATGATGTAGTAATAAATACTTGATAGTATCAACATCATTGAACACTCGACAGCCGTAACCAAATACTAAATTTAACTTTTTGACTTTCTGCAAAGGTATTGCGTTGATATATGAATTTTAAACTTGAAAATTAAAATCATTGAGTTGAAAATAGAAATTTTCAACAACGTTCCTGTTTCAATAGACGTAATCTGCTATGATCTATTTGTTCTACCTCAACTCCATATAATTTCTTGAGTTAATATTTACAGAAGACATTGTAATCGACACTTCTTAGTTCGGGTTTATTGATATGAGATCACTTTTTATTGGATCGGTTATGTTAAATGATAGCTAGTTAGGCAGATGTTGTTATGCTTTATTCGGTAGGTGGCGCAATAAGTCTCTTTGCGTGTTTACTCTCATATTTATCTATTTATAATATGTCTTGTCAACCTTGAGAAATAATATGAAATAACATGCAATTTTATTGATTAAATTATCCAGTCTACGAGTAATTGTTTATATATTTGTTTGATATACAGCATTGATACACAGCAGTAGTTGCACCGCTGCTTGCCGAATATAAAAATGTGTGTATTGAATAAGAATACATAAAATTTACTGGGCATAAACTTACTACACAATAATTCAAAATTAAAAATTTTGTACAATCGACCTCTATATAAATTATAAAGAATAACTCAAAAACTATTGGTCCTTGATCAAATTTATATGGGACTACATGTAAGGCACCAAATAAAAATAGAGTCATCGTAATCGGTTCAACCAATAAAAATGTTATGAGGTAACACACATAAAAACCATACAGTCGAATTGAGTACAGTCTCCTTTTTGAAGTCGGTAGAAAATAAGTTCAGCATATTAATACATTGTGAGTTAATACGTACGAAGTTTTGCTTAAGTTAGTACTCACTCTAGTTGTATTTATATTAATAAGTAAATACAGGTTGCCCGCAAACTATGAAATTTATGGCGAGTGCTTGGGTCTTCGGGTACAACAGTTTTCAATTATTTGTCACGTAGCAAATCAAGTCCACATTCATTGTTATTGGTAGCTTTGTCATATTTTTTTTTAAATAAAGTACTATTTTAGTCACCCTCATCGAATCCAAACGACGATCCTAGAAGTTGTGGAATATTTTAAAGACGAATGGTCTTTGACATGCGTGACAGTAGAGTACACTAGCTGAGTTTTAATTGTACGCGTAGGAAGGTTTGCAATTGGCGTTTTAAATCTAAGTAATTTTGATAAGATTTACTTTTAAGTTTCAGATTGGCCTCCGTTGAACTTCTAATACGAAGCCTGTAACTTTCTTGTAGCTCAAAAATTAAATGCTGACAGAATAATTTTGATTAATCAAATATTTAAAAAAGCAAGATTCCAATAAAACCTTGGCTTTGTTTGTTACGAAGTAATTTTCTGTCAACAAAGTTTTTACTTGAAAACTTTCTCTCTCTTTCCCATCTCTTCAAATGAAAATGTATTTCGCTTTTCATTACGCCCACTCTGTTCTATAACGGTTTTCTCTCTCTTCAGTTTTGCATTTTAGACTTATTAATATATTATCGGACTTTATGTGTGTTTTTGTAAATAATAAAATTGAAATATTTCATTAAATAACTAATTTTACAAATTTTATCTTATTTTAACTTTTTTTTTTTATTAACGGCTTTTCAACTGTTACCCTCCCCAGTGTCCAGATATGCTGCAAAGCATTCGAAACGTTGGGATTAAAAAAATTCATCGCTAGAATATCCATAAAATTAGTTTTATTCAATGTATATGTCGAATTTTGACGTCCATTACGAATATTAAAATGAGCAGAACCATGAACTACATCGGAGTCATCGGTTCTGCTATTGAGTTTATTCATGACAAATCACTATCACACCACAATAAAACAGCAATTCACTTATTATTTCTAATTAGAACAGTTTGTTACACAGAAATATAATAAAGTTCACAGTAATCAATAATAAACAGAAATAATAACACGATTTACTTATTCAAAGCTTAAATTACTTACAGTATTTGCTTTCGACCTTAACACCTCAAGCGCGGACTAAAGAATGACCGTTCCAATTATTTTTCGGTAAAGGTGCACAACGCCATCACTTCCGCGCGGTCGTAAAGATGCGCGGGCCAATGGCGTTCAGGTTTAAATTAGTTTAACTACTTTTAATCTAAATCTAAGTATAAAGAGTTTATTGTCTGAACTCATAGTAAGCCTGTAGTTACTAATAATTAAAGACAGAATTTCTTAAGATTAGAACACAATGATTGCTAATTATTAAACAATTATTACTCAGTTGAAACTCGAATGCAATAATGATTACAGGATAGTCAAAACAACTACATTTAAAATATTTATAATTGAGCTTTTAAAATAATGTAATAACTATTTCACTAGTATTTATTTTACGTGGAATAATTAAATTACAAATATTACTAGGTAACAATGCATTAAATCATTAATTAAGATTTCATTTGAAGACCGAAGCGCGTGCGGCGACACGGCCATTCTGATATGCGATGCGTGCCCTGCAGCGCTTAATCTTTCTTGTGTAGTTGTTTCTGAAATAAATTATAGAAATATTTTTGAGGCTAGGTACTTCAGTAGTAAACCTAAGCACAAAGTTTAATTAAGCTGTTCACTACGCGGGCACAGCCTGTACGAGATATGTGTAGTTAGGTTAATATTGTAACTGCTCATTCCACATGACAACAGCTATAAAATAAATTTGGTCATTGGTCGCCTCTACACGCCAATAACATCTTTTATTATTATAATACATTTGGTTATTATGTAACTGCTTATTCCACATGAAACAGTTATAAAATAAATTTGGTTATTGGTCGGCTCCACACGCCAATAACATCTTTAACATTGTATTTGGTTATTGTACGACTCAAACACGTCAACAACATCTTTTTTTTTTTAAATATGTTACGTAATAATGTATGTGTGATTGTTAAGTAAGAATATAACATGAAAGGTTCTCACCAGGATGGAATCCATAGCTTCCTGTGTTCCTTTAATCGACTATTGAGTTGTTCTTGTCTGTACTAGCACTAACTAGTTTTGACGCAGATTGGGTTGGTGATGGTGCTGTCTCCAGCGTATTAACAATGCCGGATGCTCCTTGATGCTCGTCTCTGTCTGTGGGCCACACGGCCGCCTGGGGGTTTACGACTGCACCCGGTTGTGGGGCACGTCGTAACTGGTCATGCGCGACTTTACGGGGCCGACCATGGTGACTGACAACTTTCTTCACGAGGTATCTGTCGTTATCGAGCACTCGATGAATTTCATAGGGCACGCTAAACTTGAGGTCCAACGAAGTCTGGTTTCTGGGATTATTTTTTATTAAAACGAAGTCTCCCCGTTGGAAGTTATGTACCTTAGCCCGTCCTTTGTCAAACCTGAGTTTGTCTTTTGCTGACGCCTCGGTCATCCTTTGTTGCACATGACATTGCAATGCATCGTAATCGATGGATGTGGTATCAAAATTGACCAAATTAAGTAGCTCGGAGGGTACACAGTTTGATCGTCGGGTGAGAAGTGTAAGAGGAGTAGTACCTGTCGTTCTATGTACGGTACAGTTGAATGCCAGTTGTAAGCTCTCCAGCACTGTATGCCATTCTGGGGTCTCGTAATTCTTAATCATAATGAGTGCGTTCTTTAGAGTTGACATGACCCTTTCTACCTGTCCGTTTGCTCTGCTGACGCCTGGTGCAATAGTGTGTATATTGATACCAAATCTGTCGCAATAATTTATATATTCACCTAAATATTCACGCCCACCATCCGCAATAATTTGCCTAGGTGTTCCAAAAAGATGTATAACTTGTTTTAATGCTCCAAGTGTGCTATGTGGGCTTTTGTCATTGCAATAGCGCAGTAATACATACTTTGAGAACGCATCTATGGTCACAATGACATATTCCTGATCATTAGGTGTGCCAAGCTTTCCTGTAGCATCCATATGTATAACTTCAAATGGCATAGTAGGCTTTGAAATTGGATGCATTTGTACTTGCGTTGCTCCAGATGTTTGCTTCGATGTTCTGCAGATAACACAGTTATTTACAAAATTTCGGATGATTGTAGTCATATTCTCAAAGTAGTAAGTCTCTCTAATTTTATGAAGAGTTTTCTCCCATCCTGGGTGCTTGAGGGCAGTGTGGTATGTGTTTATTAGACTCCACTGAAAGGACTTTGGTACTACAGTCAATTTTTGTACACCTAAAATCGGATCTCATCTTTCACGCTTAAGAGCGTTACTTTCAAGCAAATATCCTGGAACGATATCACCGTTGTGTAAAGAGTCTATGACAGGACGGAGCTGGGCATCTCGTCGCTGTTCTACGTTAAGCCATTCCAAGTTTCTTGTCATAACATTAACATTCAGCGAGAGCGGATTTCTGCTAAGGAAATCAGCATGTTGCATTCGTTCACCTTTTCTGTATTCTATGTCAAATTCAAAATTTTGGAGATAGGACCACCACCGGTGTATGCGAGGGAGAAGGTCTTGTTTGTGCTTTGAAGCTCTTAGTGCATTGCAGTCCGTGATCACTTTAAATTTACGTCCGTACAGAAAATGTCGGAAGTGTTTAATGGCGCGAACTACTGCCAGCGTCTCTAGCTCATATGAATGGTATCTACTCTCAGCGTCTGTGGTACGCATACTAAAGTAGGCTACGGTATGTTGTCGACCGTTAATGATCTGAATTAGTATTGCCCCAAAGCCGAGGCTACTAGCATCGGTAAATAATTCTATAGGTTCACCTTCTCGAAATATTGTGAGGACTGGTGAAGAAGTAAGGTGGTGGATGATCTTCTGACGTACCTCTTCGTGAAAGTTGGTCCATTCCCATTTAACTCCTTGTTTGGTAAGGTTATACCGAGGGACCATAACTCTAGCAAAATCAGGAATGAAGCGGCGAAAATAGCCAGCGAGGCCGTTAAACTGGCGAACTTGTTTTACGGTAGTTGGGACGGGAGCTTTTAATAAGGCATCAATCTTTTTAGGGCTTGGACGGACTTCACCATTTTCTATGATGTTGCCAAGATACTCAATAGAACGTTTGAAGAAGAGACATTTTTCTATATTGATAGAGAATCCAGAATCACGTAATGCGATTAGGATTCTTTCCAAAAACGAGAGACCACAAGAGTAATTGCGGCATTTACTAATGACATCATCAATATATACTTGTGCGACGCTATCGTTATGACCATTGTCGGAACTGCCTGGATTTAAGAGCGGTCCTAGCGCACGGTTTATACATCTTTGGTACACTGATGGTGCATTACAAAGGCCAAACGGCATGGTCAGGTATTCATAAAGACCATCAGGTGTCACGAAAGCAGTCTTTTCCACTGAATTAGGAGAAATGGGTATCTGATGAAATCCAAAGGCCATATCAAGAGTTGTGAAGTAATGACCACCAGCCAACTTATCGATCTGGTCCGCGATCAATGGAAGAGGATAATGATCGCGTACCGTATTGGCATTTAGTTCGCGATAGTCGACGCACATTCTATCGTCTCCGTTTTTCTTCTTGACCAGAATAATAGGGCTAGAATAAGGGGATTTACTTTCTCTGATTATTTTATGTGTAATCAATTCAGAAACTATATCTTTAACTTTCTGGCGCTCAACGGGACTTAATCTATAGGGTCTACGTTCTACATATTTATCGGGGTTTTTAAGACGGATTTCTAATTCACCAGTGTTAACGCGAGATTTAGCGTAACCTTGAGTAAAGACAAAAGAGTACTTATTAAGAAGAGCGAGTAGTTGATTTATCTCAAACTCATCAGTTAAATCATGATTTAAATTTTCAAAAATAGGACTATGAGATCGTATATGCATGACACGAGGTTGAGATATTAGCGTAGCACTATTTCGGGTAACGATTACACTTAGACCAGTTTCATGTAGTAAGTTTGCACCAATTAAAACGTCTGAAGTCATTTCAAAGTCGGGTAGTACGTGAAACAAGATCTCTACATGAATATTATTTATCACGCATATAGCCGTTAACGTGCTGGTAGATATAACAGGGAATGGACCTATTCCACGTAAATAGTTCACAATTTGATTCTTAATGAAAGAGAAGACGTGTTGCTGAGACTAATTCTTTAATTATACTGTGCAATAAACTTAAGAGTACATGTATTTCTTACACTACTAGTAGGGTGGAGACACATACACTACACCTCCCCCGATATTTAAGAAAAAAAAGAAAAGTGTTCTATTTACTTTTTTTTTTTACATGTTATTTTCTTGACAGATATAATAAAATGATTTATGATTACATGTAATATTTAATTATAATATTATATGAACCCTGAATCTTATTACATAATAATAAATTTAATATTGAAAAATAAAATACAATGTTACTTAACCATTAAATTTATATAATTCCTCAATTGAGTAAAATAAAGCAGTTAAACAAAATATAAAATTAATTAATTAAAAAAAAGATTATAATCTCATGATCATGATCAGGTCAGGTTATACATAATATTATCGAGTCAATCCAGGATACGCATGCGATTTTATTTCGTACGTCATTAAACCTGTCGTTTTTTGGTACTAACCAACATTACAACAACATGTTAACATAATCATGTAGGTATATAGGTGGGCAACAATAATAATGCATTTTGCAATAAACTTGGCATCATATTATATGTACTTTTTATCCTTTCTAAAAACCTGATGTCTACGAAAAGTTCTCATTGAATTCTTAGCATTTCCATAATACTCGTTTGCGCACCCGACTATCACTGAAATAGCTAATTATCTACCAGATCTTGTGCTTTACCTATTAACATTCCAACATATTTTCATTACTGAAATAAGTTAATATGTCAATTTACTCTAACCAATGTGTATAAAACACTCACTGAATTTATTTTTATCAGTCAAATCTCTCAATAAATTATACTTACAATCCTTGCCATTCAACACATAACTTTAAGTATTGAAATAAAAGAAGAAAAAAAAACTTGCCAAGGAATTATTACAAGTGTTTGAAATAGGTTTTATTATGATCTACCAAGATGGTCATATAATATTAAAATATTCGAGTCAAAATGCGAAACTGATTTATATTTTTTTAAAAAGATTTCGACCGATGATACCATTCTCCATAATTGGTAACGAATTAAAAACATAGAACTTGTGCTCTGCAATTGCTGAAATACAACATACATATTTGACATAATTGGGCAATATAATAAATATATAATATATATATATATTTTTTTTTTACTATTTTATAGACATTACAAACTTATATCATAATATAGTCTCGTATAATATTTAGGTACATATATCATTGTCAGTCAGGGATTGAGGTTCACAATATCTTGGTCACAACAAAATTTAAAGTAATATATGCAAACATAGTATAATGAGTTTCAAAATCGTATTAAATAAAGGAATTATTTTCATAATCCATACAAATAAGTTCGCATCACTCTACTATTTTCTCAGAAAATAATAAATTGTAATAGATAAAACGTTTATGATTTGAAAGTTCAATCAATATTATACGGAAAATAATTGATTACATTTCATATTTAGATATCCAGAACAAAGAAGTCAATGCAAAGCAACGTACCTAATAATTTTCGTTAACATAACAACAGACAGATCAAAATACATGTTGTGCTCCCAGCCGCGTAAGCGATTTGTGACACCTTTGTTTTAAATTCCAAAGTACAAGTACCTATATGGAAACGTTTGAGATTACATCGTATGATGGTACCTACTTTCAACAATACAATAAAATGATATCGTGAATATAATCATTTACACAGTTTAGGTAGTAACATTTCATTGTGATAATAGGTTTACATACATTATCAAGTATTCATTATTTAAGTTATTTATAATAGTCGAAAACACATTACTACTTTTTTATTTTATGACTTTTATGGAATATTTTTATCTTAATTGAGACAGAAATTTAAAATATACACCATTAAATACCTAAAGTTTGTTTAAACAAAATATTTATTAACATTAGAAAAGACAATTTTTTTTGAAGCAGATTACATAATTTTATGTTTCGTTGTCCATAATAAAAAAATACTATTGTTATGAAACTTAAAATAATAGAGTAGATACACTTTCGACTTTTTTTTTTTTAGTAACTAATATACAAAATTTCGTTTAAAATTGTAAAAATTTTACATTAACCAAAAAAAACTAAGAGAAATTTAGGGTAAAGTTATTGAAAATATGAAAAAGTTTTGCAAATTCATATAAAATATATCTAAGCGAAAACGTATTTATCATTTTTTTTTATTGTGGTTGTTTTTTTTTTGCTTTGGCGGGGATTCCATTATGACCTCATTTTAATTGTTCTCATGTCCCTACATGTTAATTATTTTCATACTTGCACATCTCCATAGATAAGGACATCTCATTACATTCCTTTTTGATTGTCAGGCCTATTATTTTTTCATAATTGTTGTACGTACTTTATTTCTTTCTTATATTTTTGATCTTTTGCTAGCTTTATTTCTTTTAGTATTAAAATGCTGTTCTAAATTCTCTTTCCTTAATATTTGTTTATTAATTAGATACCGGGAATCGGAGTATTAATTCACTTCATTTATATTTTATTTCGTGATATTTATCACGCGGGTACTTTATAAATATGGGCCCCCCATTTACTTGGGTATTATATTACTTTTTCATAACATTCGTTTCATTTTATTGGTACATAAACTTTCTTTTATCATACTATGTCAAGGTAAAACCTGTACCTTGGGTTGTGCGCACAACCTTGAGGCCAACGTTTAAGTCATTTTAAAAGGACTCCAACAATTGTCACGGAGGAAAACTAAGTTCACACTATGATCCAATGAAGGATGTGACCTCTATGTACCATTATTAAGGGTAACAAATTTAAGACTTCTCTGGTCCCCAACAGTACTAATATGAGTAAACTCGTTCACATCTCACTTGTGCTGAAGGTATTGTTCCCTAGTACCCGTTACTTCCGATTTTATCATCCAATCATGGAAACATACCCTGCTCGAGGACTATATGCTTCACCAGTGATGGACGTTCCCGTGTCTCTCCATGATTTATTTATCAAGGTCATCTTTTATTTTATTTTGATTTTCTTCGTAAATTTTTATTTCTTTCTTTATCTTTATAGTACCTGCTGTTATCTACTTGACTGTATCGGTAACTTTTATATACTTTCATACTCCATTTCCATTACTAACTTTCATAATTCTCGCTCATAATGGTTTCAATACCAGGATTTTAAGCATCATCAAATATTTGGGTGATCAGTCCAATATTGACGAAACTTTGCAATTCCATCATTCGTATCCACACATTTCAACATTCATTCTCTCATTCCTCACGCCTTTTAAATATATAATTTTTAATATTGTACAGAAAAATGAGGTAATATATGTCAACTTTTCATGTCCGTGTTCAACTTTGTTAAGAAACATTATTATTAAAACCTCTTTTATTTTCCTTATCACATTAAAATGATAGTTTTAAATATTTTCTAACTGACACAAAAGTTTATAGTATAATTACATCGCATCGCTTATAGTTATATCACTTTTACTTATATTGAAAAATATATTAGCATTATTTATACATTTAATTTACATATAAAAATTTAGGATTGCTAGAAATTTAAGAAACCGTATAACCTACATAAAATAATTTGTAATCACTATTACAGCTAAATTTATATTAAACAAAACATTAAGTTATTTCCAATTTTGATTTTTAAGCAGTTTATATTAACTTTAAGGTCATTTATTAAAGGTTATGTATTTATTTATATAGTTACTTAAAGGTTTTCATGCCTTTAGAAAAGAAGAAAAATAAGCGATTTTTTTTATAAAACCCTTTTCAAAATTGTATACTTACATTTAAATAAAATTTATCACGGAAAAAAAATTGGGCTGAATTTAAAAATATATTTACTTTAATACGAATCTTGTCATTGTAAAATGTAATTTAATATATTGTATTTTTTTTTAATACAATAACTACTAAAATATTATAAATATTATAAAATGTTAAATTCAAGTTACTTGTAAATACCGTACATTTAATATTTAATGCATCACTTATTTATTTAATATAAAACATAATAAAACATTATTAAAATCAAATGTTAAAAATTACGCTGATGCGATGTTACCTCTTATATCTTCTTTTTCCTTTTCGGTTTAATTTTCATATCTTACTGGACAAAGCTCGCTAAGATACAACTGCTCCTTTCCTTATTAAATTAATTTGCTGTTTCTTGAGTTTTGGTCTTTGGTCATTATTTAAGAAATCACTTTTTATTCTTATTATTATTTCTTAGTTGCCTTCATAGTTATATTAAAGATAAATATATTATATTGCTTCATATACGTTATAGTTTTTAAATTTTCAGTCAATTATTATTGTGGCCTCTTCTTGTATTCATATTTATTAATTTTTCGTCACATCCGGTATTGCGTCCATTCCGTTATAACATTTCTTTTATCTGTCATTTCACTTCATTATTTAATTTAAATTTGTTATAATATTTTTATTTATCTTTTTTTTATGTAGTAGGCCTCGGCGGTGCGCATGCATTGTCGCAGCGCACCGCCTGGCAGGGTCGCCATGTGATGTCGGCAGGTGTTAATGAAAGAGAAGACGTGTTGCTGAGACTAATTCTTTAATTATACTGTGCAATAAACTTAAGAGTACATGTATTTCTTACACTACTAGTAGGGTGGAGACACATACACTACAATGCCCTGGCAATTTATTTGCAATAGATTCACGCATAATGGAACACTCGGCGCCACTATCAAAAACAGTATTTATAAGCAAATTACCTACTCGAACACGCATGGTGTTTAAGATAGAATTACGGGTACTATCACTCACTGAATTTACATTAGAAGTTATTTGTTTTTCGCGGCGAAAACACGTTTCGAATGTGTGGCCAGGCTTTGAACAAAACGAACAAAATTTACTATCACTAGTTGTAGCTAATGGCGTCGGCCGATTTTTATCGAAAGACAGGCCATTAGAATTACTTTTATTACGGCAATTATCAGAAGTATGATCGATCTTTCTGCAAAAACTACAAGAAGAATTTCTGTTATCAAGAGAATATTTAAAGCGTTTTTGGGGCGGTAGATTTGAATTATTATGCGATGCAATGGGACGCTTAACACGAATGGATGACGCAACGGATATCAATTCTGGCACCGAGGTGGCCCTCACATTCATTAGCTCAATTCTAAGGCGTTCGTCACCCACAGTTCCGATAACGGCCTCTACAGCATCACTGTTTTCGAGTTTCTCTTTCGTCACGCGTCTCCATAGAAGCCATGCACGAGATAAGAATTCTGCGATATCTTTAGAAGAGTCATAAACATGTTCTCTAAATCTCAGTACGTCACGCGAGTAACGGCTCTCAGGTTCGAAGGTGGTGATAATGTTCTGACGCAACTCTTCCCACGTAGAAGTAGTTACTAGCCAGTTATCGGCCCACATTTTAGCACGTCCCTTTAAAAGGCTAGTAACTTTCATTCGAATGTCATAATCACCGAGTTGATAGGTGTCTTTAGCCGAAGAAATGTGGTTGCACCACTCACGTACACCGACATTACCATCTGGGTCATAAGATGGCAGAAACACATCAGTTATTTTAACTTTGTCACTAGATTGTTGCAAAAGCCGCTCACTCATATTCTGCATCATGGTCATCATATGCATAAAGAACTCAGGCGGTACGTTACCCGACTGTAAGCTTGGTATCATAGGGTTGCTGGGCAAGTTCGTAGGTAGAGCCGGTATTGAACCTGATGTGCCCGAGGCGAACGTGCTCTGTGGAACCTCCACATGATTTCCAGTATAGTCAGGACATGAAGAATTTTGAACTGTAGAAAAGGATCGCTGGGGCGATCCCGCTTCTGATGTCGAATTTTGACGTCCATTACGAATATTAAAATGAGCAGAACCATGAACTCCATCGGAGTCATCGGTTCTGCTATTGAGTTTATTCATGACAAATCACTATCACACCACAATAAAACAGCAATTCACTTATTATTTCTAATTAGAACAGTTTGTTACACAGAAATATAATAAAGTTCACAGTAATCAATAATAAACAGAAATAATAACACGATTTACTTATTCAAAGCTTAAATTACTTACAGTATTTGCTTTCGACCTTAACACCTCAAGCGCGGACTAAAGAATGACCGTTCCAATTATTTTTCGGTAAAGGTGCACAACGCCATCACTTCCGCGCGGTCGTAAAGATGCGCGGGCCAATGGCGTTCAGGTTTAAATTAGTTTAACTACTTTTAATCTAAATCTAAGTATAAAGAGTTTATTGTCTGAACTCATAGTAAGCCTGTAGTTACTAATAATTAAAGACAGAATTTCTTAAGATTAGAACACAATGATTGCTAATTATTAAACAATTATTACTCAGTTGAAACTCGAATGCAATAATGATTACAGGATAGTCAAAACAACTACATTTAAAATATTTATAATTGAGCTTTTAAAATAATATAATAACTATTTCACTAGTATTTATTTTACGTGGAATAATTAAATTACAAATATTACTAGGTAACAATGCATTAAATCATTAATTAAGATTTCATTTGAAGACCGAAGCGCGTGCGGCGACATATAGTATCCGCTTATATGGTAAACATAATGAAAACTTTTAATTTCGTTATTTTCTTAAGGATTCTAGAGTAACAAAAATAGTTTGCTTTAATCGTCACACTTGGCACCGTGTTGACAATTGCACTACCAGACGTCCCCCATCTTTCACGCTCTTTCACGTCGCCAATCTGGATATTTACGTCGGCATTTCCGTGGTGGTTATAATGACATCTAATGAATAACTCTTATATTTAGAATTCGCCTCTTACTGCACCAACGTGACGGTATTGAGTAATTTTTTACACCGTGACTCCTGGGCATGGCTAACAGCTGACTGATGGTAAAGGTGGCTTATGCATAAGTACTTGAAGACGAAGATGAAATAATTCACAGCTTTTAATTATACTAGTTATCTTACCTTTCACATCGGACCAAATTTTCAAAGCACAAAGTATCTGCTGCTTGACGGCAAGAACAGATAAGCAGGTAGGTATTACGAACCCCGACAGACACAAAGTCAGATAAGGAACGCTTAGTACAAAGAATTTAAAAGTATTAAATATTATAACATTCTGAACTTAGCTCCCACTTACGTAAGTATTGTATGTTTGTATGAGACTGCCTAATTGGTCTAGTGGTTGTAGTAGTGCGACTACTGATCATGAGGTCCCAGGTTCGAATCCCGGGTCAGGCCAAAAAAATCAGTTATTGAGTTTTTCCATGAAGAAATTCTAAGTGCCTTGGACGGCACGTAAAGCCGTTGGTCCTGCGCCTGATCTCTCTCCGGTCATGTCGGTTTCCCGTCCCATTGGACTATTACAGTGAGGAAATAGAAAGTGCATCTATGCTTGCGCATACACTTGGGCACTATAATCCTGTCCTGCGCCGATGTATAATGCCTGCCCGGCGTGACCGAAACTCGGTCTGGAGGACATTATTATTATTGGGGTATTTATAAATTATTCTCGTCTGGTTGGGCTAAATAAATATATAAGAGGAAATGATAAATACATATTAAATATACAAATATAAATAAATAATACATAAATAAATAAAAGCTACTAGATGGCAGCCCTCGGCAGGGGAGACCAAACGGACAGGGTTTAGGGGGAAAGGAAAATAATTCGATAGACGATGCGGGTGGTATCGAGGAGCACCGCCTTCTGCATTTGAGCCTGGAGCTGTCCGTCACGGAGCCCCAGTCGCTACTTATGTCCCGAGAGGCTGACTGGGATTAGCCCGTTCGCAGAGACGACTACAGGAATAATTTCGGTCGACAGACCACCCCACTTGTCGATCACCTTGTTAGCCAGGTCCAGATATTTCTTTTCTTATCTGTTTCTGCTTTAACGAGGTTCTCGTCATACGAAATGGTAATGTCGACCAAAAATATCCTTGACTGTGCCCGGTCCATCAGCAGAATATCAGGCTTATTTGGAAGAATAGTTCCTATCTGTGATGATGGACCGGTCCCAGTAGAGCCTGGCGTCGTCATTTTAATCTGCTTGCGTTCGGCTGGCAGCTCGCATGCTGTCGCGTTTAGTACCAGCTCCAGACGCGCCCCGGGGTCCCCAGCAGCGGCCCTATGCGCCTTTCTCTTTGTACCATCATCCATTATATGGGCGTCAGTTGACGTGAGACGCCCAGACCCGGCGCCGTTTCATGATGGGGCCATATGCACAAACTGGCATTTGCACCCTCAATTTTGCCGAGGCACTGCGCTTATACCGCTTGGCAAGGCGCTAACTGCGCGTACGAAGCGATTTTGTCACTTAACTGTTACGTCAGCGGGCGTTAACGTCGTCACTTCCCTGCACCTTGTTATTATAGTTATTATGTAAAATAATATTATGTAGTGTCAATTACTTTGACAAAATCAGCACAGTCAGAGTCATATAGCTATGAGGTTAAAGAGGTTGGAGAGCAGAATAATTCAAATTTTACCTATGAAGAAAACACCATATCTCGTAGAATTCAAACATCATTAATCTTTACTTGTTTAAATACATTATAATACTAGCTCGCCAGGCAGACGTTGTTCTGCCCTTTCCGACGACCTTTCCTATGAAAAAATCCTTCAATTCGCAATAAAAAAATATTGAAGAAAGAAAAATATCGGGTTAAAAACTATCCTATCTCTCAAGTTGGACCAAAATGCACACAGTGTGCAAAATTTCATTGAAATCAGTTCAGTAGTATAAGCGTTCATCGCGGAAAAACAATGTGACACGTAATTTTTATATATAAAGATTATGTTGACAAAATTTTTATTCAGCATAATATATGATAGCATCTGTTAGCATCTGTCAGTGAATCTCAGTAGTAAGAATATGGCTAGTAGTACTTCGAATAAGTGATTTGTTTTTAAAATCGTAATTAGTAACGGAGAATATATCCAACGTCTGTTCGCTGGTATACCCTGGTCTTAAAGGAGACAGATTTAATCTTTCAAGAGCTGGAGTTCCCAATTCCAACTTTAACAGTGAGAATGTGTCGGTGAAGGGGGTCGGCCATGCTGAATAAAAAGTCATGGACTACCAGATAATATTTAGTATTATTAATTATTATAAATTGCACCAGGGCACTTTTATATTTAATGATAATAATTCATTTCAAATTAAGTATCTAGGGTAAGCTACCTTGGTACAACCATTGCACTGATTCACGCTAGAGCCAAGACTGCCCGCTCCGTCGCTGCGCGGTTGTTTTTTTACGCCTAATGCAAGGCTACCCTCCGGGAGCGGGGGAGGAAGGTGGTGAATGCTCATAGCATACCACGCAGCCGGCTGCGTGGTTCCCTAACACAACCGCAGAGACGGGAAGGCACTCACCGTACCGCGCTCACCGTCCGCGCTCACCGTACGGGGACGGTGAGCGCGGACAGCAAACACAGCCGCACGGGGGCGGCGACGCTAGCTGAAGCGGGACGGGACGGGACTGACGTTTTATTCCTCAACTGAACTGACTGAGGAATACCCGTACGGGGACGGGTTAACATATTTAGTACTCACTTTATGTAACATTATATTTTATTTGGTAATACCGGTGTTAACATACAAAATAAATTGTATGTCTCATTTAATTTTCTATTTTATGTTCGACCCCAATTTATGTTGACCTAAAAATTCGACTAATTAGATTTCGAGTGCCTTTAGCAATAAAACAGTTTTTATGCTTCACTTTTAGACCACTTAACGTTTTTGCTGCCATCTTTT